TTTTACAATTTAAATGAAATAATAAAAAAAAATATAAAAACAATAAAATAATTTTACTTCAGTAGGTTTATATTAATATGCAATGATGAACTAGGATCAGTGCATAACACTTTTTTCATATTCAGAAATGAATTTATGACACTTGAAAACATACAACATGGTAAAATCAACAAGATTATCAATTGTATTAAAACTAAGCAGCTTTGAAAAAACTTACATAATATCAATTGATAAAATATTAAAGCTATTGTCATGTACACAGTATAGAAAATTGTATCTTTCTCTTGTTATTATACTTAAAATTTTCAGTATAATAAACATATCCCCAACAGTGTGCACATAATATACATATATTCGTTATATTCTTATTACATAAAATGTATAAAATATTTCGTTTTTCTAATACATGTATACCTATTCACAGATGTGGTTGTATGTTACTTAACATTTTACATGTAAATATAAATATTTACTTAATTCTGTAAGTCTACAATTCTGCTACTGTTCCTCTCTAAGTTTCTTCATTTTTTAACTTTTATTTAAGTGAGATATGATACTAACTGAACAATGCCACTACTAGGTTTTTCACAAAAAATATATAATTATTACAATTTATGCATAATTAGTAAGAATATACACTATAGTTGATGCAATCCCAAAAAGCTAATCAAATTTAATGATGAAATATGTACCTAAAGCTATATAAGCCATGTATATGTAAACTGACATTTATGTAATAATAATTGCATTTCTTATTCTTTTTGTTATAAATCACCTTTACTATTCATTAATATAAAAAAAAATGCCTTTAACACATTCCAAACGCAGACAACAATTCTTTTTCTTAATATTAATAAAAAATTCAGTTAACACATTTTGTTATCTAAGTCTTGTTTGTAATGAGTTAAAAACATGTTAAAAGCAGTGTTACATGTGACTGTTGATAAAATATTGCTATCTTGCAACATACAAAAAAAAAAGAAAAAAGAACTCAAGAAAAAAGCAAAATGAGTTTACTAAGAAAATGAAAGCAGTTGAATCGTGTAACCAGAGTAGACAGAAAAAAATGCAAAAGTAACAACAAAAGATTGAACAATGACATTGAAATATACTGATGTCTGATTGCTCTCTGTATTAATGTGAAGAAGAATCAAAAAGGGGATACAAAATGCTCTACTTTAGCGCAAAAGTGCCAATGGTATGTCATCAATATTCAATATGTGGTAACTGAAGTAAACTCACTGTTGATGATAGGATTTCATGTGGACAGCATGCCAGCAAAAAACTCTTGCAGACCTTTGGATCGGAGTACTTCACTTGAAATTTGTTATTTTCACCTGAAATAGTGATATATTCGTAAAAAGTAATATTCCAAAATCAAATGAGTGTACATATAATGGTAAGGTGTAGGCCACCATCTTGTATTTTTGACGAGATATCAGGTAATTGTAAATAGTAATGCTACGGGAAGTGTTCAAGCCTTTCCGTGAAGCTATAATACGTACCATTCCGTCCAGTTCCCATCAACTGGTCAAGCATAGCTCGCATTTGGTCGTGAGCAGTCATTTTTGTGAGAAAGTGCAATATTTCAGATGCACTGTCAAAAATGGGGGAGAACAATCAGCCACGCCGCCAGCCTTCGAGTTTCGAGTTATTGTCCAACTCGTATTTATCGATCAGAGTATCGTACACCACTAATCGTGTGCGCGTGATTCGCACAGGTCGTTCTAGAAAATATATAAAACTTCCAAGCATACGACACTGTGACCAATAGCGTTTCAGATCTTATACTTACGCTTAGAAAATGCATTTCATTGGTCGTTACTTTATTAGTGAATTTATAATTTAATCTTTGTTTCCAGGTATATTAAAAATACAATTTATCTTCTCTAAAATCTTCCTTAAGCTCCCATAAAATTATTTATATTTCATATATTTTTAAGACTTTTGTAAAGTATACATTTGTATAATTTTAAGTTGGTAATAGGGTAAATAATTTTCAACGTTTTTTATAAAGAAAATACAATAAAAGAGCTAAATAAATATGTAAACGGTATAAATCATGACAAATTTTAACGAATATAAAATGATTTCATGTTTACTGTATCCTGTGTCATAGACAATAAGTAAAATACTAAGTAACAGAACGCACAAGCTACAATTAGATATAAAGACGTGTCAGTACAAATGTTATGCATTTCATCTTTTCAAGTGATCGTTTATGGGCATTGTGAATCTAGGGAGTTCAATTAGCTATATATTCAGTGTACTAGTAACCCTACTGCGCGTGTGTAATACGCGCCGGGGGTGGTTAGTCGATGGTTTGGTGTAAGAACGTGAAAAATTGCAATTTTGAGCAAGATCCCTTTGATATCGTTCGTGTAATTTGCATCTGGAGGGGCGATATCGCGTGTTCATTTTTTTTTCACTGACCATTTTTCGGGAAACGACGTTAGGATAGGCGGCAACTGCGAGAACCCATTATAGAACTGCAGCGTACGATACGCACGCGGTGTCTAAAAATGGCGAAGGTGTTTCGCGCGGTGACAGTATCGACTTTGTCAAACAATGGACAGTCAACAGCGAAATTTAACAAGCCGGTCACGCTCAATATCAACTATGATCCGCAGGGTCTCAGTGTTGAGTTCCTTGCAGGTACTCACTTATAGATAAATCATCATTTACGAATTATGTTAGCGTCGTCACGGACTGCACAACATAACCATACTCAAACGAGCGTTTATAGTTGCTGTTTTTTTTAATTAAAACTTGACGACAATTTCTAATATGTTACAGTGACAATATTTTTGTAAATAATTCTCTAATTTTGTACAGAAAGAAACAAAAAAAGGGAAGGAACTTTTCTTTTGTTGCAAATTATCCGTTAATTTGATATGACTTATTTGCACATTTACGGTGCGATTTTTTCGTTATGTAGATATTATCTTTGTTTTTATACGACTTTGTAATAAATAAATTTTGATAGTTTTTTTGTGATATTATGAATTTCACTTTTTTACGTTTCCGTTTACGAGAAAGAAGATTCGTACTTTATGATCTTTGTACTTGTTTATTATCTGAAGGTCAATCCTTGACATAATTAAAATATTTTTTTCTATTCTTTAACAATATGTTATTTTTTTAACGAATAAAGAATTTTTTGAACACAAAAAGAGAAAGCATTTTTCTTTTAATTTATACTTGATGGTAAATTGCATATCTTTTTGTATGTTATAACAGGAGACCCAAATGGTAGGGATAAAGCAACATTATTAGAATTTCCAGTGACTCCTAGTACTGAGTGTTCTAGAGTTTCATCTAGAAGTTATGTATTCACACTTGATACAGATAGTTTGCTTGTAACATTTGCTAATGAAACAGGTGAGCTGATAACAGAATATTGTAGGATATTTAAATAAATTTCATTGATCAAAAAATGAAAATCTATTGTACTACTAATAAATGATTTTTCAGATTTTAGAAATTTTCATTCACAAATATTAAAATTGAAGAATGGAAAGGGTATATCTGCATTTAATGAAAGGACTGAAGAATCCTCAGCCATGCAATACTTTCAGTTCTATGGCTACCTCTCCCAGCAACAAAATATGATGCAGGACTACATTAGGACTAGTACATACCAGCGAGCAATTCTGGGAAATCTATCTGATTTTAAAGATAAAGTTGTGCTTGATGTAGGTGCAGGTTCTGGTATATTATCATTCTTTGCAGTCCAAGCAGGTGCAAAGAAGGTGTATGCTGTAGAAGCAAGTAATATGGCAAATCATGCAGAACTATTAGTTGCTGCTAATAATTTATCAGATAAGATTATTGTAATAGCTGGTAAAATAGAAGAAATTGATTTACCTGAAATAGTAGACTGCATAGTGAGTGAGCCCATGGGTTACATGTTGTATAATGAAAGAATGCTTGAAACTTATCTTCACGCGAAAAAGTGGTTAGTTCCAGGTGAATATTTTCGAATTATTTTTTATTTTATTTTTGTTTTCATCAATTGCTGTGATAACAATTAAATAATTATCAAACAGGTGGAAGAATGTTTCCCTCACGAGGAGATCTTCACATAGCTCCGTTTTCCGACGAAAATCTTTACATGGAACAATTTAATAAGGCTAACTTTTGGTACCAAACATGTTTCCACGGTGTAGATCTCTCAGCAATGAGAAACAACGCGATCAAAGAGTACTTTAGGCAACCAATCGTTGATACGTTTGATATAAGAATTTGTATGGCTAAATCTATCAGGCATATTGTAGACTTTCAAACTGCTAATGAGACTGATTTACATAAAATAGGTGAAACTTTGTGCATTATATCTGATTTTCATGTTCAAGATTTTTTTAACATATACATTACATTATTACTTTATACATTCTTTAGAAATTGATGTCGATTTTCATATATTGGAAAGTGGCACTTGTCATGGCCTTGCATTCTGGTTCGACGTTGCATTTATCGGATCGACGCAACAGGTTTGGTTAAGTACAGCTCCCACAGAACCTCTAACCCATTGGTATCAAGTTCGTTGCCTTTTGGAAAATCCTTTGTTCTGTAAAAGTGGTCAGCTGTTGTCTGGAAAGGTCATTCTCGTTGCGAACAAAAGGTAAAGCAATACAGTCATAACGATAATTCACAAAGCTTTCAAAATGCTTGTTAATATGAAATGCACATATACGTGTATATGTGTATATATATAACCTCATATAATACTTGTTTCAGACAATCGTACGATGTGACAATAGATCTGAAGCTAGAAGGAACGAATATGGAAAGCAGTAGTAACACTTTGGATTTGAAAAATCCGTACTTCCGATACACAGGTGCAGCAGCGCAGCCTCCTCCCGGTTTAAATAATACCTCACCCAGTGAGTCCTATTGGACGACATTAGATGCCCAAGGCGCAAGGCAAGCAGTAAATATGGTCAATGGAATGTCAGTGAATGGCTTGGGAGAAGTTTCTATGGATGCAACTGCAGCGGTGAATCCCAGTAATTTACTTGCAATAGGTAAAAATATAATATAAAAAGTTGTAAAAATATTTCACCTATTGGGATTGCATCTTACCTCTTACTTACGTTTTATCCAGGTGGTCAGCCAAATATTCATCCTGGATCAATTTCGAGCACAGGAAGGGGACGAGTAGGAGGTACAGCGACGAGTACGCAAGCAGCGCAATTAATAGGTGGCGGAATCACTCCAAACATGTTCACGTCTCCCGCTACGGTAAGTGTAAAGATTCCTAATCAGATTTTGTGCGAGCTACACTCAATGTCCGGTATCACAATGTACCGATATGTGTAACATGCACCATATACTCGTACCTATGTGTGCGTGAACATCTGCACCAAAAATATGCACAAAATAGCTCGCTACATTCATAATCTAAAAGCGAAAGGATACTAAAGTGTACGCCTGCCTGCGTGTCTTTCGCGCTACAGCTTGGTGTTACTTTCCAGCAATCGCTGGTCCTTGGCAATACTTCACATTATCCAGTGAATCCCAGCTTGATGATCGGGGATTATGTGACACCTGGTAACGGCATATCGTCTCAAACGTATCGACAATGATCAATGGTGAAATCATTTTGTACCGAGTATTCCCATACGGCGAAACATTTGAACGATCAGCGCCATAGCGCTGGAAGTAGTGGAGACACCAGCAACAACGCTAAACAGAGCCGCAAGTTGGTGTTCAGTTCTCCAGCAAGCAAGTTACGACTCTCATCCGCTGTTCGTATATTAAACGCGGTTAACTTGGCCAATTTAAATACGAACGTTGGCCACGTTAACGCTAACAACAACACCAGCAATAACAATAACAACTTCGCTTATTTTAACAAAGTTATTATTGGTTCTGGGTTCGGATTCGGATGGAGCGCTAGAAGAAATAAGTCACAATGGGAAGCACGTTGGAGGAGAGTGCGAACCGTCCTCTCGTAGTTGTCATTTATTTCTATATCTCGATTAGCCGATTTTTATTATTTAATTGAGGTCCCGTCGAAGATTTGATCTTCCAAATCGAAGTGCATGCTTGCCAAATGTACCCGAGAAAAAGTAATATTTTTTAACGACAATACAGTTTAACTATACGTGCGTAATGTTCCACGCGGCACACATAACACATACACACACACACACACACTATATATTTTACAGGGTTCTGATCTACTAAAGCATCCGTTTGTACGCCAAGATCGAATTTATATCGGTCGATAATCGATAAGTTGCGAAATCATTTCTTCTCTTGATTTTTGTTCTTCAATGTATTTCTTGAAGTTTCTCAGTATCGGATCGATTGATCGCGTTGATCCGACGAATTAGAACGTTTCAAACGATGTATACAGGCTGGATTGGTTCTCGAACTTAAGCGATTTTTTACTACAACGTTTAGAGATATATAGCGTGTAATGATGTTCCGAGTATTTCGGGAAGAAAAAAAGTGCAAAAAGCAATAATTCGTTAGGGATACGATATGGAGAGCACTCTGTGGCATTGCCTGTTATCCGCTTTTCTTACTGAAGTGGTTACGTTCAAACGCATCCTCCCTTCCACTTTTTTCCACTGAAACGTTTACGAAAGAAAAAGAAAAAATAAATTCCATAAAAATTCCGTAAAGTATGTCCATCTTGTTAATTTGTATCTATTATTTTTATTTTTTAATAAGTAACATTTTTGTTGATTATTTATGATTCAGAGGAAAAAGCAAATTGTATATAATTAACTACGTAAAAAAATCGATCGACCCGATGGTATAATTTACAATTAAAAAAAAAAAAAAGAATATATTCCAATAAAACGATGATAAATTATGTTGCGATTCATATATAGCTGATTTACTGTATTGTATTATTGCAATGTACAGACACTAGAATAGCATGTACAGGCACAATTTCAAATTTGTGACGTTTGTATTACATATCGGCCTTTGGTCAAATAGGATTAATTCTATACTTTTAATGTACTTCTATTATAGTAGAATTCTACCGCCTATATATGTCTCATACTGATTAGTCGTTTCATTGAGTAACCAAATTTTTTTGTCGAAAATGAAAAAAAGTGGATTTTGTTAAGTTAAAAAAAATGTTACAACCTATATAATACTCCAGTATTTATATATTTAGAAAATAGGAAAAATATTAAAAAGTCGACGACGCGTAAAAGAAATAAATACATCACGTCATCTTTTTTTTTTTACAATAATTTTCAAGCCTACACGTACACTTTACATACTTTTTCATGCGATAATAAAGTGTAAATTACAAACAAGGTCCATTTGTTTCGTTTTCTGATTATAAACAAATTTTGTTACGCGATGAAATAAAATTAAGAAGAACATTTTTTATAGCCTTGAGATAAACAAATGACTTATTTAATTCTACTGAATGACTAAGAGTGTATTTCTAAATTAAAAGAAAATACAGCTGATCTTCTGATAATGGGGTATTCTTGTGATATTTGTAGAGACAAAGTAAACACGTGTCAACACGATTTTTTATTATGTACAAAGATTTTTTTATGACTACCTGGTGATATAAAGTAGTAAAATCTTTTGACGCATTTATGAGAACAAAAAACCAAGTAAGATATTTCTTTTTATACAAAAAAATGAAACTTATAAAAACTACTCATTTTTTTGTACTTCATCCTTGTTTTAGGTAATCTGTAATATTCGTTTTGACACAACTAGATTCTACACAATATTTTGGTAATTTTAAATTTCGCCATTATCAGAGAATTACCTGTCCTTCAAGTAATTGTACATATAATATTCTTAATTTTTACAAGTTGATTATACGTTCAGATCTCGGTGTAACGCTTAAGTCTCATTAGTTCCTAAGGAGTGCTCTTTATTTGTTATCTGCACAAACTTCCTTTTCATTTTAAGAAATGCTTCTTTTTGATACCCAGTCTTGTGTACCTTGAAAAGTACTTTCAAGCTTAAGAAACCGGTAGACACTGTATATCGTTCTCCCATAGCAGGGAATCATTTGATTTAATGATAACATGTAATTTTTAGGTATCAACGATGTAAACATATTTTTTACTTGAACATTTGTTTCATTGATTTACTACTATTAACATTACAAAGGGTTTCCTTTTTCAATGAGCTAACTACTAAACATGTAAATAATTTGCTATAGTATTCTTTGACATTCACTTAAGGAATGTTTATAGTTCTACAAAATGGAGTATATAATTTTTTTAGTGTACGTATTTAGTATTTGAGATGACTTTGACTGCAGGCATTCCACAAGTGCTGATAACATTATACAATTCGTAACTCTATATAAAACAAGAACATGCCTCTTCCTCTCTCTCTCTCTCTCTCTCTCTCTCCCCTCTCTCTTTCTCTCCCCCCTCTCTCTTTCTCTCTCTCGCCAGCTCGCTCGTTCGCTCCTCTCTCTCTTTCTATCTCTGTTTTTTCAAAGAGAACTGAAAACATTAAAAGCAATATTTAGAATCGAACGCGTACAAAAGTATTAGTTACCGTTTGAATTTTAAGTTTCAATAGGAGAGACAAAAGATTGAGTAAAACTAAGCATACCTTTCTGATATTTTTCTAGATATTGCTTTCAGTGTTAGCGTGTGGTACTTTCGAGTGTATGCCTTTTCCTTGTTCTTTTCTCTTTTTTTCGTTTTAGAAAATTTTTAACGACTGAAAGATACAAAATATCTCAGGTAGCCAAGTGAGTTTTGAAAGATACTGTTTGTACATTTTTCTCCACTTTTTTAAATTCTGCGCTGGGGTATAGAAAATTTATGATTACAAGTGAAAGAAAAAACAAAATAAGTTCTCCCTTTTAGGGTGCACACTCTTCATTGAATTGAACTTGATGAATTGCTTTATGTCAAGAAACAAAATACACTGCAATATGATGATAAAGAATGTACACATAGTAATTTAAATAGTAATTACAAGACCTTTGCGTACTGAACAATTTATTTTACTCAATGATGTCATTTCTGATATTGTTTATTACGATTTACAATAATGTTCTCCTATAATGTGTGATACATGAAGAGTTATTAAGAGATGTAGAGAGTATTAAGTATCAATCCATT